TGGTTGCAAAGGTATTTTTTCATCATTGCCATAACTGCAAATAGTCACTATCTGAGGCAGTCACTAAACAAGGATGGCCTGTATTTTTCTACTCAGCCCCCAGCTGTATCTGGCTCATTTTCAAGCTGAGCCTTTTTTTCATCAGATTTGCTCTTATTCTGTTATTTATACAGAATTATCCTGCTGATGAAACAGATGGACAGACGCAAGAACAGATTGAGCCCACACCTTTACAGAATTCATTTCCAACTACCCACTGATTTACAAAGAATAGGTTATTTGAGCAAGACCTCATCCTGCAAATATTGTCAAAATTCAGATTGTTTTGGAAGTTTCTGTATGGGAAGATGCTAAAAGAGCCGCCCGGTTCTCATACTTTTAACTTCTGTTGATAAGACTTTGTCATATTGCCTGCCTTGAAATCTTACCTGTATAAAATAAGCAAAAAGTGGAATCTGGCCTGAGCCACAAAGCAATTTACCAATCACTACAGCCTGAGGAACATAACTGAATATAACTGCGGAATTCTGGGAGTTGAAGTCCACCCGTCTTAAAGTTGCCTACTAAATTGAGCGAAGAGATGATAAACTGCACTTCGACCCAAGTTAATAGTGCATATTATTGTAGTACATTTCTAGCTTGCATTCCAGTTATGCATGGGGATCATAGGAGTTGTAGTCTATCCCATCTGGAGGGACCCGACTGGGGGAAGACAGGCTTAAGCAACAAAACGTCATCTGTAAGCGGGGGGGGGGGAGTGCGCACGCGCAGCAAGCCTCTTCCTCCTCCTCTTCTTCCCTTGGAGGGCAGTCGCGAGTCAAGTTGCGTGCGCATGCTCAGTGAGAGTCATTTAACGGTATCAGCCGCGGGAGAATTTGAATCTGGCAGCGGAAGCGCCAAATCGAATCGGTGGCTGTAAATTCGGGAGAGGCGGAAAAGTGAGCCAGGCAGCCGATGTCCGTGGAAAATATTGTACGTTTGAACTGACGTCGGATACATTCGTGAGTCCGAAGGAAAAGGCGTTCAAGTTACTAGGCCGCAAAAGCCTGCAGCAACGCGTACCGGAAAAGCGTGTGAGTGTGCTTGTGTTTAATTCTCCGGCAGTTATGATGGTTTCGAATCACGGGCACTGACATCCAGGAGGAAGCGGGGTAGAGGGAGAATAACGACTGTATGGCTGTTCCTCTGAGAAGGGCTATCCTAAAGTGAGTTTCGTGGTGCCTGTGTGATTCCAACACGAGTCTATGTGTGCATGTGTATTTGTGTTTCTGACCTAGATAGGCGATAATGTACTTGCGTATGTGCAGAATTGGGTGTAAGCCCTTATCTGGCTCTATGGAGTATAGTACAATAAAAAGTTGGGCATCTGTATTATAATTATTATCTATGAAAAGGAATATTTGCCTTGGATTTTTGGCAATTGGGATGGAGATTGCTAACTTTTCAATATACAAAATTGGAATAAAAATATAATACTTGATAGGCAGACAAAAATGCCACATCAGTTTAAACTTCTGGCTAAATGCAAATAATAATAATAAGAAGAAAATTTATGACAATCAGAACTGCCTGGATAATTTATGGAATGAATCTATAATTGATATATTTGCTACAAGAGAAAGCTTTTGGGGTAATTCTCCCAGACGTTGACAATTTTTTTTTCAAACTTTCAACAGATTCTGGATTTTAAAGTTTTATGGTTGGATTATGAATTTATTTCTACCATGCTGTTTTTATTTTGCTTTGCTGGTATATAACTTTTACATTCATTTCCAGATTATGAAGTAGAGGATTGGTATAGAAATACCATAAATGAGAAGTGAAGTTTAAGTCCTTCTCATAGAAGGAATTTAGAAAATAAGTTTTTCTTATAAAAAATAAGGAGTGGAATGTATACTTTTTATATTTTTTCTGAAAAGTAAAAACAATACAATGCAGTATTATTATTTTAGCTTGTGTTTTATTTATTTTATTTTTAGCTTGTGTTTTATTACTTCAAGAGAGCTAATTTCAATAAACTTAGAGAGGGCTTGGGAAGGATTCCATGGAGGAGAATCCTCAAGGGGAAAACAACACAAGAAGCTTGGGAAATTTTGAAAAGTGAGATAATAAAAGCCCAGTCTAGCACAATACCAACAAAGAGGAAAAATAACAGCTCTCAAAAGAAACCAGCATGGCTGCATAAAGAACT